AGCTACTGTTTTGTTGTATTTGGAACGTGTTTTCGTTCGTATATTCTCTTGTTCGTGTATTCTGTTCACCATACTAATGGGGATGTTTTACTACTGTCCAACATTATCATATAAGCAGTTATAATAAAGAAGATAATTGGGTGATTAATCAAAAAATAATCAGTATTCCTATTCTTTACAAACATAACGACATGTGAGCAGTGGGTGATGTGAACACAGCCCTCTCTCGTGTTATTTGTGTTTCCATAGACTGACAAAGATTTGACATTATAGTAAATTAGACATGTACAGAGTGTCTGTAGAATCTTGGATGTAAACTTATTATCTGACAATACATGCTGTCAGGCTTCAGGGATTTTTCTGACAGATATTGTGATTTGATATGCATGCAACATGTAATGTTCATAGCCAAGCTTCAGTTTAAAATGAAGTGTGTCATAGATTCAAACGTGTGATCGAGCATCAGCACATTCGATGCCCTCACACAGGGAGCACAGTGTAAATGTGTGAAACCGCTGTCACATCAGTTTAAAGCCTCGATCAGATGTGCTGAATAAGATGTCTGAACTTGCAGACTTTGATAATTACATTTTTCAAATCGTGACTTTGGTTTTCAGTCCAATAGTTCAGTCCTAGTTTACTGTCAAGCTGACCGACCCTGAGACACATTACTCTATATATTAAAATGTCTAACTTAACTAATGATACCATACAAACATGCAGACACCAAACTGACCTGAAACCTGGTTTGAACTCATCAGCCAACACAGACACAGATTCAGATTTATCCACCAACAAGCTGCTAACATCGGCCCACTTATCATCCTCATCGGTGTAGCTTCATCTGTTGTAAAAAAAAAAAAAAAAAAACAGCATAAAGCACACCTCAGCATATATGTCAGTAGATTTTAGGGATGGACGATATATCGGCGACCACATCAGTATCGGCCGATATCAGTGTTTTTTCCCATATATCGGTATCGATCTGATGAACACATTTAGCTGATGATTGTCTAACATCAGCGCCTTCGTCTCTATGTTTGACATCGCTGCTGTTTCACAGATGATTTCACTTAAATGGTGCTGGACTTAAATATGTTTAAATATGTTTTACTTTTGTTAATAAAGAAGACCATGTGGTCTGATCTGGGCTTCTTCTGAATAGTTTCCTCACAGTGCTAACTGATACTCATTTTTCAGTGTAAACAAAAACTGAACATCGACATCGGTGATATCGGTTATTGGCGATATCAGGAAACTTAGCATCGGATATCGGTATCGGCCAGACGTTTTAATATCGTGCATCACTAGTAAACGTCTTTTCTGTCAGCCAGCTGACGGCTGCCGATGCAGACGAGCGAGTTTCTGTGCTTCAGACCTTAAGGTGTGCTGAACACCTTTCACTTGTCGCCACATCATGACGTCCAGGTGAACCCACAGGTGCTGCTCTGGTTCTGAAAGCTAAACGGGAGCCAGTCTGTTTGAAAGAAGAGCTGCAGAGTCGATGAATTTAAGAATCTGACCTGAGCCAGCTTTTATAAAAGAACAGCATGTAGCAGGGTCACAAACTGCTCCACAGCGTACGCAGATCTGTTTCCTACTCATGCACCAGTTCACTGACTGACCTGTTCCTGTTGTATTGACTTTATTTATTTGTTTATCTTTTTGTATGTATGGCTGTTATTTATTTATTTATTTATTGCTTGTTTTTTTTTAAAATTATTTTATTATATTTTATACCTGACCTATGCAGTCATTTGCTTTCCTGTTTTTTTTTTTTCCATCGTCTCAGCGATAAAGGCAGGCTGGGTTCAGGCTGGGTGGGTCCACTGGAGGAAGGAGAACACGTCCCTCCTGTCACCCTTTGTTTCTCTAAATGAGAATCTGAAGCATGAAGATGCTCCATGTGTGAGGCCGCCATCTCTGTAACTTCCTGTTAGACGATATCGACGGCACCACATCCAGACATTCACGAGGACGTGCAGTGATTCCTCCGTTGGGCCTGTGCTGGCCCTTTACGGCCCTGCTGGGGGGGGGGGACTACAGAGCGCCCATGCATGCAGCCTGGCCTCGGGCCATCTGTCCACATGGATCTGAAAAATATGCTGCGCCACAGGCAGGGAGGACGGGCCAACAGCACCAGCGCCTATGAGGACTTATTCTTCAGCCCAAAATGGGGGCTGAGGTATTTCATGATTTAAGTTCTGTTCACCTGAATTCTATCCGTCAATAATGAAAAGTTCACTAAACAGAATCATCTGCTCCATTATTCAGCACTGAGACGGCGCTGTTCTGAAAAGTCCACCGAGCCACAAGGCTGCACAGAGAAGACACAGAGGCTACTAAGTTAAACCGCTGCCTCCGGGTGACCAGGCTACTGGGTTCTAACATTCTCACACCAACAAACAAAAAACCTGCAAAGTTCTGAAACCATCGGACCCATTTTAACCTGCAGTACGGTTCCTTTTACCCAGATGATTGCATTCGCCCCGATCATAAACACAGAACACCTTACAAGCCAAATAAATGCATGAACCTGAACCAGAACCCCTTCATACCGACCCTGTTTGGCCTCAGGCATCAGACCCAACACGAAGCAACCACAGATCTAATCAAACACTAATCCCACTGCGGATTAATAACGAGCTGGTTCTACTTGCTCAGTGATGCAATAATTCAAATGAATGCCACCTCCAGCGAACGGGCGCACCGTGTGGCTGCCTGTCGCTTCATATTCTGATATAATAAAGATCTTTATTGTTATTTCTGGACAGTGGCAAAAGCACCCAACATAGAGCCAACTGGAGGTTTCCAACTGGACGTGACCAACGAGGTGAAGGCATCTGATGGGTTTCATGTCTCTGGGAGTTTAGGACAGCTCACAGGAGGCTGCAGCTCCATGACTTTAATCACACAACGACACTTCAGTTTAACACACAACAAAACACACCCACAAATACAGCTGGGACCTGAAGTCAGCCGTCTGCAGCCCCTCTGATGGGTTTCTGAGCTTTCTTCTGGGAGCGCTGGGAGACATGTAGAAGGTTTTCCATTAACTCCTTGATGTGTACCGGGATCCTCCAGCCTGGATCCCACAGCCTGGATCCC